CAGGGGAGATCCTACAACAGGGCTGAACGATTTGAGAAAAATATCAAAACTGTGATTTTTCTGGAAAACATTATGATTGTGGTTAGATTCACAAAATACATTTTGATAAGAGAATTATGTTCACATTTCACATTTTAAACGTGTCCGGAAGCCTTGACAAAAACACTGAAATATGAACTGACACAACTAATACAAGAATTTCAAAACACGTCTGCATAGATCAGTAGAGGAACATTTAGTTGTTTGTGGAGGAAATTACGGAAATTACAGTTAATACATATTTAGGTTGAGTTCTTTTCTCAAACAGAAAACACTGTTCCACCTTGTGATGTCACATGTTAATACAGTGCTCCACTGTGTTTTTAAACTCCAAACACTTTCACTAGAATCATTTGGCCAATTTCAGCCCTGGAATTGTTAATCTCTACTTAACAAAAAGTAAAAGCTAGTATGAAAACTACCACCTCATGACATCACAAACACAAGAGAGTATTTTGAGTTTTGGAGATGTAGACAGACTAACAATAAAGGATTAACCAAACATGTGAAGGAAACAAAACAACTCCAGATATGTTTTTGATGAGAGAACAACATTCTAGCATGCCTTAAAGCTCACAAGAGTCAATTTAGCATAATATAGCACCTTTAAGAAACTAACCTTTCTGATTTGCCAGTTGTATCCATTAAAATTTTGATTTCGATTTGACTGTGGTTGATCTTGCAGTCCTACTTTATAAGATCGGGACTCCCCAGGCACTGCACTGATGTCGCCCACTTCTGTTACCCACTGACACATTGGCCCATTGACATTAGCATGAGTCACTACATGCACAAGGTGTGCATGAGTCAGCTGAAAGATTGCCCCATTGTTTCATCAGTGTCTCTGGAGAATCCCTGTTCTGCTCTCCATGTTTGTGTAAAAATACTTGTGTGATTCTGACCTGTTGTTACCCATCTCTGCATCTGTTAGCAAGCAGTAACTATTTGGTAAGATAACACGTAACTGTGATTCCTATTATATCTGCTGTAGATGTTTTATATTAAAAGGTGCATTGTGTAACGTTTCTGGTGAAGGGTCATTCAAATGCTTTACTGAGTGGAGATGTTATTGCTTTGTCTTGAACGTTTCACAGTATGGTATTAAACCTTTCTATCTCCATGGAGACTAAATCAGGCCAAGTCACAGGTCAGATCTGTGGAGAGGCAACCGTGCTCACAGTCAGAATGTCTGTTTTCCAAGGTATTTTTGAGCTATAAAACCACCTGTAACTGAATAAATGTAAGGCAGAGCTGTCATACTGTGGACCATTCCAAGCAGAGCAGCGACATCTCCATAGAAACAAACAGGTGACGGACCCCCAACCAAAAAGCTACATAGTGCACCCTTAAGATTTAGTTAGTTTATTTTACTTAACACTAGAATCAACATCTCTACTAACATTTTCTGAAATGCTTTAAACTACAGGGTTTGCAGCTTACATAATGAAAAAAAGTTGTTTGCAGAGGAATTTTAAGTACATGAATACAGCTTGAGCTATTTGCTAATCTTGACTGTTGAAGTTGCATTCAATTTGTTTATTACAATAGTGCCTGAGATGAGGAATCAGAATTTCAGTTTTCTGCAAAAATCAGGAACAGTCTTCGTGAAGATGTGAGACAGGTCTCTACTCTGACAATATTTAAACCCAGGCTCAAAAAGCTTCTATTTTGAGTGAAAGGATTTCATCTTGACACGTTAATTTTATGATGATGATTTATGGTTATATTTGTTCGTATCATGATTTTAATGCATTTATTACACTGTAAAGCACTCTGTGGATGAATTATGCTCTATAAATAACATTGCCTTGCCTGTGTGTTCTAGTGTGTGTGTGAAGAGCCTGTAGGGGGCAGAAGCACAGCTAAAACAACAGCACGTGCCAGGAATCTGCTGTGCATATGTGTGTGGCTCAGATGCCACTGACCTCTTTATACTGAGAAAGAGCGAGAGAGAGAAAGTGTCTGCTACTACTACACTACTGCTGCAGCTTCTACTACAACATTACTGCTACAACAGCTATAGCTACTACTACACAACCGCTACTGCTGTTGCTGCTACTGTTACTATTACTACTACTACTACTACTAGTGCTAATACGGTTACTGCCACTACCACTGTTTGCTTTGCTCCTCTGAGGTTGTGAATGTGAGCTGGGATGTGAGCAAGCTCATTAGGCCTGGTCATGTGACTTCGGCTGGTGCACGTGTCGCTAACAGACCAAAGCAGCAGCTCAGGGCCACAGACTATCAGCCTAACAGGGTGCACAAGGCAGAGGGGCAGAGGGGCAGAGGGGAGATGGGGATGAAGAAGCATTTTAAGGTGTTGGTCGAGTTTAGGGACATATAACATTCTAAACTCATTGTATGGCTGCTTGATTATGGCAAAAATCACTTTATTATTTGACTTTTTTAGCTCATATTTGAAATTTCAATTATTTTCCATGATTAAAATGTAAAAATAAATAAATACTATGGTGCTCTATGTTACTTTTCTGGATGTTGTTCTGCCAGTTGCTTGTTTCCATGGAGATATTAATGGTTCACCTGCAATGTTCCACAATAGGGCATTAAACAATATATATCATGCACTTATTTAAACACATGTTTTTATTGCTCAAAAATGCCTTGAAAACTTGCATCCTTACTGTGAGCGAATTCGCCTCTCCATATATTTGACCTGTACTCTGGCATCAATTGTTTGTCTCCATGCATATACAAATTTAATGCCATACTATGAAACATTCTGCAAAGCAAAACAACAATATCTTCATGAATACAAACCACAAAAGGAAAAAGCTTAAGAATAGAACTGAAGTAATGTACCTAATAATAACATTTTCTGAATTTAGACAAGTACAAAAATGAAAATGTTGTAGCCTCTTTTGAACATTAAAAGTGATTTAGGGGGTTAAGCATTTTACCACCAACCAGAAGATCTGTGGTTCCAGTCTTACTCAAGTGCATATTGGACGGATCAGTGTACGAATGGTTTGTTTTGGCACTACTAGACACTTGTAAAAATAGCTTTGTTGCTGTACTATGATAGCCAGCTAAATATGCAGATCACGCAGATGATGCTACGGCAACAACAAAGGCCAAAATAATTAGTAACAGTATTTTGACATTATAATCGGGCATCTTGTAACACTTCTATTGTGAAGTACATTGTATGAAGTTCTTGTCAATAGAGAGCCCACTGGACTAATTAAAAAACCAAAACAACACCCTTTACTTGTTTGGATGTTGTGCAAATGAGCAACAAGAAAGTTGGATGACTATTACAGTTTCCATAGCAACAAATATCCACTGACTGACAGCTAAAAGTGTGTGTGGCATATGTGGCTAGACTGTAAAAGGCAGTCACAGTCCCCTGCCAAAATATGTAGCATAATTTATTTTTGTTATTGTGTAGCTTCCTCTTATTCAAAGCAGTCTGCAGTTTCCCATTGATCTGGTGTTTTATGTTTTGTAAATTGGAGCTGCCGTATGTTATCCAGAGAGGGGACATTAAATTGGCTCATAAAATGCTTTACTGAGCCCAATCTAGTTAATTTTACATAGTGAATTACCTTAGTATTCTCTCATGGCTTGTGAAAATGTCTGATTGGATTGGTGATAAAATGACACAACTGTTTGTTATACAGATGTAAACGTGTGTGTTTTTATAATGCCTTACACTTGCAAAGAGCATTACAGGATTGCCCAAGTCTCTCAAAGCCTCACTGTTGTTATTATTATTTCACTCCATACCCAGTGATGGTAAGATAATATTGATGCTGTAGTTGCCCTGGGGTAGACTGATGGAGGTGAGGCTGCCAAACTGCTCCATAGGTTCCTTCAAATCCCAAATCCCACACTCCACATTCATACTGGGCAATGAGACTGAAGTACCTTGCTTAAGAACAGGACACTATGGCATAAACTTCGGGGAACTGAACCTCTGATCTTTGGGTTGGTGAGGTGCTCTAACCACTAAACCGCAATGTTTAGCAACCATAAATATCATTACATTAACCCCTCACAAAAGATAAACTGGTTTGAATTTGTTGCATTAAAAAGTAAAAAATGTGCTATACCTGCAAACATAAAAGATCTATAAAGAATACGACACCATTACATTTTAACAACAGCAAATTAAAAGAATTAGCTTGAAAAATATTATATAACGTATTTACATTTGCCACCAAATTTTCGTCACCTCACAAGCTCGTGATCAAACAGTGACAGTCAACACATGCGAAGAGTACTGAAGTGCAGTTAAGGACAGCAAAATGGCAAGTGTTAAAGTGTGAAAAGTTGACAGAGAGTTTTCAAGTAACAGTGAACGACCAATTATTTTTTGTTCAATGTAAGGACCGTGCGGTTTGTCTGATATGTAAAGAAAGTGTGGCGGTTTTCAAAGAATATAATCTGCATCGTGAGGGTCATGCAATTCTGTTATACGTCCTGCCTGACCCCGGCCCCCCATCACAGCCAGGAGCGATAATGTGTACCCCAGAAAAAAACGTTTGGTGACCCCTGGTATAAAGAATTGGACTAAGTGACTAAGAAGTGTGAAATCATCCATAGCGTTTGGTTCCAGTCAAATGAGGCTCATGATGCTAGCGGTTATGGGGCGAATTTGGAGCTGAGTTTATTATTATGAATAAGAATTTATTTAAGGCTAAAACAGATAAATAAAAAAAACACCAGGATCATGTAGAGCGGGTTAATACAAACATTTTAAGACCAAAATAATGAGGCTCACAGCAGCAGTTACAAAGAGAGTGGTGACAATTTCCCAGTGTAAGGAAAGACGAAGGAGCCGGGAGCGCCCCCATGAACACTAGAGGGTTGGCTATTCCCATTTATATATACAGTCTATGATGGCTACCTAAGTAAATGGCTTGAGTGCTTGTGTCTTCAAGTTGAAAAATGCCTTGTAGATAGTATTATATACTATTATAGTGAGTAATTCTTACCATAGTGTTTGAGTATGCCCTGAGGAGTGACCACCTGATTGCAGACATGGCAGACAACAAGACACAAATCCTCCAGCGCGAGAAATGGGCTGCAGACGAGCATATCTGTGAGAGAGATAAGAGAAGAAGAGAAACAACGCCTTAGAAGAAGAAATCACTCAAAACGGCCCTCAACAGAAACATAAGAAAACAAGGGGAGTGATAACTTGACTAAGCTTGAGTAGCTTACACAACATAGCAGAGATAGCCCACTGCAACTGAACTTTTCCCTTCATTTCACTATTACGAGATAATTATTTGACATTTTACGCAAAACTTAATTACAGATCTTATAGTCAAGTCTTGTTGGAGTAACTGAACTTCTAATGCAATGAGCTGATGTAAATGCTGAAAGCTAACAATGTATAATCAAGTAGTATTTTGCAGGGAGATGAGAGTTTGATTTTTTGTTTTTCTTTTTGAAATAAGACCCTTGCCCTTCAAAATCAAGAGAAAATCACAGTTTAATCACAACAACGTGAACTGAACCTATAGCTATAGAAAGTATTGGAAAGCGCATTATGGAAAGCGCAAAGACCACACAAACTCAAAACTGAAGCTTAATTGTCCTATATTACACAAAATTGACTCTTGTGAGCTTTTAAGCCATGTTACAATGTTGTTACATCATCAAAAACATACCTGGAGTTGTGTTTTGTTTCTTTCAAGTAACATATTATTAGTCTGTCTACATCGCGAAAGCCCAAAATGCTCTGCTCCACCATTTTCACATTAACAGCTACCTTTTACCTTTAGTTTAGTAGAGACGTTTAAAAACACAGTGGAGCACTTCCTGTATTATATTTCCACTTTAGAGTACAACCTAAATAAGCAGGGTTTGTGTGTTTAATATGTGTGAATGAAATAAAGGTAGATAGGGATGTAACAGTAACCAAAACATCATGATATTATCATGGACCATCACAATATATGAAATTACAAGTCTCTTTGCTTAAATTAAAAGTTATGGTGCAGCAATAGCTAAAAAAAAAAAAAACACACAGAGGGAACTACATACACCATGATCCTTTGCTCCATTTCAGTGTAGACTATAAGAAGAAATAACAGTTCTTGTCACAACATTTTAAGAGAAAAAAGCAGCATATTAACAATTTTGTTCACCTCCACAAAATATCACAATAAATATCGTACCGTGAGATGTATATCGTGAAAATACTGTACAAGAGATGTGGATATTGTTACATAAAAAAATAGTGAGCCTCTCCACCATATCGTGAGCTTTCCCACAATGTCACAATAAATATACTGTGAGGTTCATACTGTGACTATATCGTATTGTGAGACTTGGATATCGTTACACACCTAGTGGATAGGTATTTACAACATTATAACATAGATCAGAAAATAATATAACACGGGCCCTTTAACAGACACATAGTATGGCGCCAAACAAGCAATGACCACAATGTAAAAAATGTTATTATCTTCAAAGGTATGTGATGTGATGGAGAGCTTTATCTTCCTGTTCCCAAACAACCGCACTGTCAGAAATTACAGCACTTATTACCATGGGGCCTAGGATGCAGAAGTGTGTATTTGTGTTAGCGTTGAAGGGAAATCTGAGAGTGCGCAAAGGGGTGAATGTCATCAAGACCTCGCTTGATTGGCAACCTTCCAGTCGTTTAGAAAAGGAGAGGAGCCAGGCGGAGGATGCTACGAGTCTATTACAATATATATCTGAGTGGATCAAGGTTAGCCTCCTGATAATGACATATGTTCATAATGTGTGCGTAATTTATCCCATCATGGAGGTCTGACAGGACGCATTGAAAGGTCAGAGCTCAGCCATTAGTTATAAATGAAGGCAAAGATAAAGAGGTCCTATAGCAGGAGTGCTGAATGAGTGTGGATTTTGTATAGTGGACATTATGTAGAGCATCTCACACCATCGAACACCAACTAAGTGAAATAACATAAGAAGTATTGTGATAAGATCCTGTCTCATTAATAATTGCAGCCTTCGCAATTTGAGAACTGCGGAAACTAACTGTGATTCAATTGTAGGGCTGGGTATCATTAAGAATTTGCCAATACGATATATATCTCAATACACAGGCCACAATACGATACTTATCTCAATACAGTGCACTTTCGATTCAATACGATACATTTCAAATCGATTCAATACAGTTCAATAAAAAATAATGGATCAATCATGGCCCTGATACTAAAAGTGTTTTTTAAACCACTTCTTGTGCAAAGTTCATATGAAACACACCCATTTTAATCCTCAAAACAGTGAAAATGTCAAATGTGTTGCATAAATGAGTTTTTCACTGAACAAGCAACAAAACAGCAGTACTGCAACAAAATAACTGAGTAAAATATACCAAAAAATACTCTTGGCAATATATTGATACAGCAGACCACGTTATCGATACTGTATCATCACATTAAACGATACCAATATTTCAATATTTTTGCACACTCCTATTCAATTGTGATATACTGCGTAGGGATGGATCGATCCAATACTGGTATCAGATATCCACGGTGATATTGAAATGTTTGCTGGCTCGGTTATTAGCTCCCAAATGTCGGTTCAGTCAATATCCTGGTTGGGCATATAAAATTGATGTAATAAGATTATTTACTGGTTGCAGCTGGGACAGAAAGTCTCAAAATGTCTGAACTTTTATTTATACAAATCTGTTCTGTAGTTACATGAGAGATAAATAACAGCTACATAACACATTTGGATCAGTTTTGTCTTATTTCATTTTTGTATAAAGAAAGTCAGTGCTGTTTTCAGTCTCTGCATCGGTAGATTCTTAAATCTTTAGTATCAGAATTGGTATCAGAAATGAAGAAGATGGATCAGTGCATCCCTAATATTTTTACTGATACCATTATTGATACTTTGGCTTTAAGTATTTGCCGATACCCGATATTAATCAATACCAGTCTAGGTACGAAAAATGACACTTCTTGAAAACACAGCTAACTTATTACACAAAAGATCTAGTTGTTTTATGCAACTGTTTTTATTTATTTTTTATTTTATGTATTTATTTTGGGCAAGTAAAGATTTGCATTCTCATACAATGGAACATATAACATAAGTGAAATCATAATAGACATGAAAACCACAAATAAATAAATAAATATATATATATAACATGCATATTGGCTAATAAATAATAATATTTGTCAATCAGTAACATTTAAATCAAATTAATACAAATTTTCAATGCAACCAACGTGTTTCATTTAAGATGGAATTACATGAGAAATGTCGCAAGTTCTATAAACAAACCAGAAAGTGAAAGTTACATTTCGGTGCTTTTCCTTTATTTAAAAAAGATTTTCAACGTAATATTTGTAGCGCTGTGAAGAAAAAACAAAAAACTGACTTGTTGACCGACTTTCACTTTCTCTTTCTTGTATAAAAATGTAACATTTCATTGAACTCTAGCTTTGTTCATTTTATGGTATATTTAAGCTATGGTCTTCAAAGTTGGTTTTCTCCATCAAATCTAGCTAACTTCTTGATGTTTACAGCAAGAACTGGCACATTTTCTTGTAAATAAACTATTAAAGACTCATAAGACAAGCCCACAGAGAGTGTCGATAAGAAAAACTAAGCCTATTTGCAGCTAATGACATCTTTTCAGCTTATACTGGGGCAGAAGGCTTTTGTGGGAGTACCGAAAAAGTAAGAATGCAATTTCCTCTGTATCTGCCAAAGCAAATGCAAAGTAAGTGTGCAGACTAATAGTGTGTGTGGCTCTGTTTCTCTACTGCCAATCACTGACAAACCAGAAACCAAACTACACAGTCAGTCTTTGGTGAACAAGCAGGTTTTTCACTCACCAACAGCCATCCATCACTGAATGCCTAAACATGTGGGGACTGTAAATTAGGGCTGGGAATCACAGGGTCCCCCACGATTTGATAAACTAAGCAATATCTGGCTCACGATACAATATTATCACGATATGGCGATACATGTCATAATCGATGTATTGTTCATCATAATCTTTGATATCTTGTCATTTTAAAATCAAATGCATTTTAGCAACAGTATTTTTTGTTAAATCACTACTTGTGCAAAGTTAAAGGTGCATTGTGCAACTTTTGTGCTGGAGGGTCACCTGCTTGTCTCCGTGGAGATGTTACAGCTTTGTCTTGATTATTCCACAGTATTGAAATAAACCTGGTTAGCACAATGGAGACAAGTTAATGGTCAGATCTATGGAGAAGTAAGCCTGCACATGGTAAGAATTGATGTTTTTCTATGAATATTTTAACACCTGTAATGGAATAAATGCAAGGCGGATGTGTTTAATGTCATACAGTGGAGCATTTCATGTAAAGAAATAACATCTCCATAGAGACAAGCAAGTAAACCCTCTATCTTGGAAGTTACATAGTGCACTTTTATGAAATACGTCTATTTTAATAATCAAGACAGTGAATATGTCAAGTGTATTCAACATAAAAAAGTATCCTTACACTAAATGAGCAACAAATCTGTAGTGCGGCTACAAATAATTTGCTAAAAAGATACAAAAAAAATACTCTTGCCAGTATGTTGATAGAGCAGCCCAAAAGAATGAAATTGTATCACCAAATTTAGTATCACGATATATCTATATTTTTATATTTTATGCACACACCTTCTGTAAATTAGACATTATTGAAAAGTTATTGAAAGGAGGAAGTAAAGAGTTAAACGGGACTTGAAAAGGGGAAAATGTGTCTTAATAAAAACATAACTAGAGCTTCCTGGCTAAACTGAAGACAGTGATGGTGTCAAAGACATGGCAGTTATTACATTACATATTAGCCCAGCTGTAGCACTGAAAAGATGGCTTAAGATAGCGTTCCAATAAGAAAATGAATTATCTAAATTGGTTTAACTCGTAATTTAAGAGCTGTAAAAACACGGACACTGAATAACAGGAAATAAAAAACTATTGCATTACAGAAATTCACAATATTACACAAACCACAAGGTGAATTCAGGACACTAAAACTTGGAACATACCAACTGTCAATTACACTTTAGTAGAATCTTTAGTAGAATAGTAGAAGTTAAAATATAACCTCACAGTTTATGGGGATGGAAAAAGTTTGTGTCAGTAAAGGTGAATTGTAATATTGTTTTACCAGGGTAAATAGTGCATTTGGTCAAAAGACATTACTACTGTGTCAACAACTGTAAGCAACAATACCAACAATAAAATATCAAGTGGTTCAATACAACCATATCTCACTAAGTGGAAGGAAAAGGTTAAGTCTGTCGCGCTTTGGCACATTCAGAAGAAAAGTGTCACATTTAGGCTTATCTCTGGTGTCATATACTATATAAACTACAAGAGGAGACTTTTTTCTAAACTCTGTATAGCATGATAAAGACAAAGAACTTTAAAAATCTTTACTTCATGGCAGTCAACATATAACCTTAAGGAAAAATAGAAAACAGGAATGTGAAGAAAAAAAGAATGCCAAGTCAAACTTAATAGACAGGGTATTGATAACCTACATTCTTAAAAAGACAAAAATTCTTAGTAGAATTGATTTAATACCTCAGATGCAACAAAATCCAGGTACTCCAAAAAAGTAAAATTCACACAAAAAAAAACAGTATACCGGTAGTTAAAAAGGAATTAGTTTAAATGGCCAAAGCTAACATGTTTCGACCATGACTGGTCTTCATCAGGACTTAGTTTAAAAAGTGAAAGCATGGGGTATGGCTTTTAAGAAAACACACCAACCAATGGTAAGGACACATGTTAATTAGAGGAACACAAGGCAGGTGCAAGACATGCAACGCGCACAGGCAAAAAAAAAAAACCCAAACAAACAAAAAAAAAAAAAGATAATAATACCAATGAAAAAAATTAACAATACAAATAATGAAAAAAGTACATATAGCATTTATATATATGTATTTATTTAGAGAGATTATTGATATATGACAGATTTAATACCTTATTTTATTCACAGCTTTTATTTTACCATATTGGATTTTTTTTACTACGTCATTATTCGCTGTTTTATGTTGCACAATATTGCCAAAGCACATTCCTAGATTGTAAAGTTTTGTTCACAGACAATGGAAATAAATCTTTTTGATTATTATTTTTGATTATGACATAAAAGACTAGACTAGAGAGAATTTTATATTAATATGCCAGTAGGTTTTTGCTGAATTGTCACCCTTAATCCTCACCATTTATCCAGGCTTAGAGTTGGCACAAAGATGATCTGATTGGGCTCGTTTTGATACATTTTGAAGCACAATATATTGCTGAAGTAAATATAGACATTAAACCATAATATTGAAACCAAACCATAAAACAGAATTATCCACCAAAAATATTCTAAAAACAAAATGGGAGCTACCATAAATAAACAATAAAATAAAAACACTTAGTACTAGTCAGTGAATGTGGATTGTATATCCTCTGTCTGTTTGCTGCCTGTAAAAAAATAATAAAAATAATTCAAAATGCCCATGCATTGATACAGATGTACACCGAAAAGTTACTGTTTTTCCAGTAGCTAATGGGTATCTAAAAAAACAAAACAAAAAACCAAACTTCATTTGCATGTATAATTAGTTATAAAAGTTCATAATTCAACCTTTTATGGCTCAAATCTTGTCATACTGCAAAAAAATAACCCAAAATTCTCCACTGGTACAAAGAAAAAGGTATACAAGAGAAATACTGACCACCAAAAATAATTGTTCCATCTGCCCTTTATTGAACGATAAGTTGATATATTTATTCTCATGACAGGCCTAGGTATGATTTCAATTTTCTAGTAACATGAATCCAAAATATTACATGTAATTCTTGGACTTGCCATTGTAAGGGTCTAAAATGTGGTGAGTGTTAGTGAAAAGCCTGGAAACAGCAGTGGTAACCAACACAGAAACATAATGCGAGAATGAATAACTATCAATCAGTGCGCCCAGTTCAAAGGCAGCTTTAACTGTCCTCTCTGTGTTTTACCTGGCTTTACACCAGACCCTGCCGCGCTGAGAGCATAAACAAGCTCCAGCACTTAGGAGGCAACCCAAGTACAAGCCAAAGTTACAAGGGAAACTATCACTCCTACTTCAAAAGAAAGAGAATCAAATAAACAGCCAGGCCTTCCATTCAGCTTTCAACACAACTGAACTTAATACAACTCAGTGTTTTTAATCAGAAGTAAAGATATGTGGTCAAAATGATGCCCTTTTTTAAAACATGATAACCAAATAGCGAACATTCAACATATTTTCCACTAGTTTATTGCCAGTTCCAACATACTGAATACAGAAATGAACTTCGTACACTCATGTAGTAAAATTCGCAAAATAACTATAACTAACTCAATAATATATACATTGTATTGCCAGCCAAATAAGAATCACTTACCTTACCAGTTTACATGTGCATATAGGGCAGTGAAATTCAGGGTTTCCCAATAATACGGGAGACTACGGTGGTCCTTTCATAGTCTAAAAACAACCTGGACTAAACATCAAGAAATTAGCTATCAGAATTTTCCCTCATGCTCATTGTATTATCACAAACTTATGAAAAAAATTGTGCTTAAGATTAAATGAGTGCTTAAAGTTGAAATATAGGCAGTATGTGACATTTATTCTTTAAAATAAAATAAAACTAAAATATAAAATTATTAAAAGAAAAATTATTTGTCATAATCTTTAAAAAAAAAAAATATATATATATATATATATATATATATATATATATATATATGAGAAACAGTGCAATTAATAGGAGTTTAGACTTTGGAGGAATTATTATGACAAATCTAACATTTATGTTCACAAATTTATGAAAAAAAAAATGTACATAAAAGCCAAAATCACAATTTATTAATACGAGGAAAATAACCCCTGCACAGTTCTTTCTGCCAAGTAATTTCAATCAAGAATTGTGGTACTGAGCAAACACATAGAATGACTTGATACCGGATAGAAAATGCCCACTGTTTCCAGCTAATGGTTGCAGCAGGTTGTCATCATCTTTTCACTGTCTGTGCTGAGAGACAAAGTTGAAGATGGCAATCACCACAAAAGCTCCATATACTATACTTTACACTGCCAACCTGTGCAACGGCTCTAAGGACTGTTTTAACAATACCAATCTCAATCCATATAAACAAGATTCAATTAGCGCCAAAGCTTTGAATGTCAAGTTATACACCTAGTTAATGTTGTCCTAATATTAAAAAAGGCTTGATGTTTAATACAGATTTCAACACACACACAAAAAAAATCAAAATTATTAACAGATGTGCACATTTTATGAAAAGAATAATATTTTCAACA